CCCCAGGCTGGGTCTATTCCCTCCCGGTTGGGCGATAATCGCCCTAGTCATGCGGATGTGTGTCAGGATGACCCTACAATGGCCTATCTTAGAGCCCTCGCCCAGCCCTCCGTGCCAAGGTTCGAGGAAAGTTAGAAAAGCTTGATCCAGTGCAATGGGCTCCTCTGACCCCCGTGAGTGGCTAGGTGGTGGTAGCCTAAAGCCCTCCCAGCGCATCTCAGCATAACCTGCCTGGGGGCCCCATATCTTGGTGTGTCCACGAGGGTTGGCTGGGTGTATACCTCGGGGCCTACAGCTCCTAGGTCATATACATAAAGGTCCAGGGCTCGAGAGCGTCCATCCCCTTCTCCCTGTACCCGACCCATGCAGGGAGTGTCACTCTATCCGGCATAGGGTCCCTCGGTTCCTCCCCCTCCCTGCTCGGCTCAAAGTTCTCGGGCAGTGGGGAAGCACAGTACTCCCATGCCCCCCCACCTCCCGGGGTAATACTTGCGGCATGGGTGAGGAAAAAGGTGCGTTGTCATCAGGCTCAAGGGTGGAAGTCTACGGCCCCTCCGCTTCCTCACGAACATAGGGCCCGGAGGTGAGAGCCCAGCTGTATGTCTCGTGGTTGGTGTAGTAAGGTTTCGAGGCGTCAAGAAAAAATAAGTCAAAATAAGAAAAAATAAGTCAAAAAAAAAATCCCGTTCATGGCATGGTTCACAAGGTCATAGTCCCGGGGGGCGGCAGTGCAGGCGGCTTATTTAGTTCGGTGTCCCCGCCTGTCGTGTCGTCTGTGTGCGGGGGGCCCGCAGCCTGCGGGGTTTGGGGCCTGTGCCTGGAGGCCTGGGGCCTTCTGTGTAGAAACGTAGCGGGTTCGGCCAAAGAAGCTTCTCCGGCGACAGGTGCAGCTCACGTTGGATCGTCTCCAGATCTTCTGCTCCCGTGATCATGAAGGGGCCAGAGGGTGTTGCAATTTGAAGGCCCGTGGGGAAGCACCAGCGGTACCTGATATTGGCGGTCTGCAACTGCCTGGTAAGGGGCTTCAGGGCCCGCCGGTAGGCCAATGTAGCTGGGGACAGGTCTGGATATAGCTGGATTTCTGATCTGTCTAGCAGTACCTTTTCAGTGGCACGTGCCTTACGCAGGATCTCCTCCTTGAGCTGGAAACTCTCCATGCAGCAGATGATATCTCTTGGAGGCCCGCCCGGGGGTCCTTGTGGCCTCAGGGCCCTGTGGGCTCTAACGAAGCCCATGTGCGTCTGGGACGGCCTAGCTAGGAGCCTGTTGAACAGCTCCAGCAAGGTGCTCTGTACCGGGGCTTTACTGTCTAGTTCCTCTGGGACCCCTC